GGCGCGGTGCCAGCCGCTGCTGCTCTGGCGGGTGAACTGTTGCTGGTGGTGACAATGGTCCTTCTCCTGGCGGGAGCACATGGTTGTTTCCTGGGCTGAGCTGTGGGGAGAGAGAAGCTGTCAGGGGGTGCTGCACGGCCCAGCACCCCTGTGAGCCCCACGGCTCCATCCTGGGGCTCCTGTGCCTGCCCTGTTTGCAATCCCAGGGTCGCGGTGCAGGATCCCGGGAGAACCTCAGCTCTGGAGCAGAGCCCCATGTCCACAACAGAGGGTCTTACCATAGCATCTCTCAGCCAGAGGAAGGATCTTCCCATCCATCCCTCCATCCCTCCATCCCTCCACCTATCTATCCATCCTTCCATCCATCCCTCCATCCTTCCATCCATCTCTCCATCCCTCCATCCATCCTTCCATCCATCCCTCCATCCATCCTTCCATCCATCCCTTCCTCCATCCATCCATCCCTCCATCCATCTCTTCCTCCATCCATCCCTTCCTCCATCCATCCATCCCTTCCTCCATTCCTCCATCCCTCCATCCCTCCATCCATCCGTCCCACCACCCCCCGAGCACCCCTTGCAGCAGTGCTAACCCCCCATCCCTCTCCAACAAACAAACAAATCTCCAAAGAAGGAACCCCCAGACTCACCCGAGCTTGAGAAGAAACCAAGACCTCCATCCATCCCTCCATCCATCCATCCCTTCCTCCATCCATCCCTTCCTCCATCCATCCCTTCCTCCATCCATCCATCCCTTCCTCCATTCCTCCATCCCTCCATCCCTCCATCCATCCGTCCCACCACCCCCCGAGCACCCCTTGCAGCAGTGCTAACCCCCCATCCCTCTCCAACAAACAAACAAATCTCCAAAGAAGGAACCCCCAGACTCACCCGAGCTTGAGAAGAAACCAAGAGGAGGGAATGAAGATCCTAGGAACAGGAGCACCTTTATAGAGATCCCAGATCCCTTTCCCCGGAAATGAGCCAACTCCCTATCACAGGGATCTATTAATTTCATATCCAACCCCCATCCAACCACCCTCTGTTTACATCCCTGGCCTGACTCATCCCTGATACCCATCATTCCTTTTTTATCTGTTTCCTGTGCCACATAAGTAGCTAATTACCAGCCTCACCCGCCCTTGATAGGAAAACCTGTGGGTTTCCCAAGGCTGGACTGTTTGAGGGTTGTTTTGTTAAATGAACTCGGAGCTTAATTATAGCTCCATCTCATGAGGTTCTGCTCCCAGAGCCTAATCCCTGCTATTGAGCCTGGGCCAGATAAAGCCCAAAATAATCCAGGTTAAAAGGAGTGGAAAGTTGTTCTCTCTTTCTCCCTTAGATGCCTGGTCTGCAAGAGACACCCTGGCCATGGGGACAAGCCAGTGGGACCAGGTCAAATCTTCTTAGGTTTCTTCTCAGGTCATCCAGAGGGGTTTTCCAGCTCCCTTCCTTGAACTAAAGTGTGTGAATTCCCCCCAGAAGGCACCTGAGCAGCTAGAAGATGGTCTTGGGGACAGCTGAAAGCCCTGCTCTGTTCACCTACAGTTGAGCAAGGTCATTGACAAAGCCCAACTATTTCCATCCTCTTCATGACAAAGATCAGGAAATGAAGGCTGAGGAATTGAAGGAGCCAACTGGAGCTGCCTGCTTCATGGGTCCTTCTCCTAGAGCAGAGCCAGAGCTCTGGAGATGGCCCTTCAGCACAGCCCTGGCCTGGCTGCAAAGCTGCCCAGCACCTCCTCACCCCACAGAGCACGTCGACCTCTAAAGGTCCCAGCTCCTTATTTACAGGATAAGGGCAAGAAGAAGCCTGAGAGACAGAAGATAAAGTTGAGAGGCATGCAAGCAGACATGGAGATCCACCTCTTTGCCACAGGGAAAAGCTCTGGCAGGTCTCTGGGAGAAGAGGGGGTGTCACTGGGGCTGTTGGAGCTCAAAGCCAATGTCTGACCCAAGACACTCGTTGACCTGTGCAAGTTGGTTCCACTCAGCACCACTGGGAGCACTGAAGATGAGCTCCTTCCTGCTCCTCCTGGAAGCTCTTGGGTGGCTGTTGGGTGGCACCCATCTGGCTTCAGGCAAACACCCACGGGCAGAGGGTTGAGCTGGGGATCCCTGTGTCCTACACACAGCTCAGCTCAAGCAGACCCCCCTCTGTGTGTGGTGACAATGGGGTGAAACCTCCTCCAGGGTATCCAACATTTTGGCTGCTTGTCCATCAGGAACTTCCCACCTGGGGATGATGGGTGCCCAAGGGGCCAGTGATGAGGAAGATGGCAAAGTTCTCCTCCTTCCTCCAGCCCTGCAGCTCACCCAGCCCCAAGTGCAGCTCCTGCTGCTGATGTCATTATCACCTCATACAGAAACTGGTGGCTCTGACTGTAATTAGCAGAGGAACTGGGCAGACACCCACCCACTGGGAGCTGTGGGTGCTGTGGGCAAACCCCACGTGGCTCTTGGAGCAAGCAGGTGTGTGCACCCAAGGGGCAGGTTCCTGCAAGGAACCCTGCAAGGAATCCTGAGCTCCATGAGTCTGTGGGGCTGCTGGGTGCTGCTCTGTGCCTCCCTCCTCCCCCAGAAGGTAATAACCAGTGACTAAAGGCTGAAAAAGAAAAACATTTCTGTGCCTGCAGGCTGGTTTGGTCTTTTCCAGAGGGTCTTGGTGGGAGTTGTGTCTTCATAGAATCATCATGGAATGGTTTGGGTTGGAAGGGACCTTCAAGATCATCCAGTCCCACCCCCCCCATGGGCAGGGACACCTCCCAGCAGCCCAGGCTGCTCCAAGCCCCATCCAACCTGCCCTTCAACACCCCCAGGGATGGGGCAGCCACAGCTTCCCTGGACAACCTGGCCCAGGCTCTCCCCACCCTCACACTCCACAATTCCCTCCTCAGCTCCAACCTCCAGCTCCCTCTCCCACTTTTCATCCCTCCCCCTCATCCCATCCCTCCCTGCCCTTGGCCCAAGTCCCTCCCCAGCTTTCCTGGAGCCCCTTCAGTCACTGGGAGGCCACTATGAGATCTTCCCAGAGCCTTATTTCTCCAAGCTGAACAACTCAAACTCAACCTGTCCTCACAGGAGAGGTTTTCCAGCCCTCAGATCATCCTTGTGGCCTCCTCTGTCTTGCCCAGGTGGGGGGGGATGGTCTACACAGGAGGGTTTGATGCTGTTTTCAGCTGGTGACCTCCTTCACTTAACCAGCAAGGACACAGGAGGGTTCTCAGGGTCACCAAACACACACCAAGTTTCACAAGGATGGTTTTTTTTCTTGCAGTCCTCCCAGAGGTGTTGGCTCAGCGTGGGGTGAAAAGCAGAAGCCACATCAGAACAGAAGCAGAGCAGCCTCCCTCCTGTTTTATTGTGGTTACAGGAACAAGAAGAATCTTTGAACAGTCAAAAACCTGGGAGGCAAAGGCAAGGGACCTTCAAACATCTGACTAATAACCCTGGGGAGGGTTTTCTTGGGATGAGGGGGTTGCTGTGGTTACACCTCCTGGCTCCATTCAGCTCTGCTCCCAGCTGCAAACCCCCTTTCCCAGTTGCCTCCCACCTTCCCAGCAGCACCTCTGCCATCTCCTGGGAGCTGGATGTGGCTTCTCTCTCCTCAGCTCTTCCCTTGCCTCTTTGCATCCCCCTCAGCCCAGCTCATGGAGGCAGAGACCTGCCCAGTCCAGCCTGGAGTCATGGAATGGTTTGGGCTGGAAGGGACCAGGAGAAGCTTCAGAAAGCACAAGCAGTAAAGATGTTGCTGGATTCAGTTGCACTGGTTCACACAGCAATATTATTCTGCCCAGAAAACAAGTCCAAGTTGTCTCCATGTCCAGACGTGCTGCTGGGCTGGGTGTGATCCTGGGGGGATCCCCCTGGTTCATGTCCACAACCTGCTCAGAATTGGAGGGACCTCGTGTGTCCCTACAGCCCCTGGCACCAGTGGGTGGAAAATGAGGGTGAGGGGTTTAAGGAAAGGCCAAGACAAGAGAGGTCTGAGGAACTCAATACTTTATTGTCTCCTGGGCACCCCAAGGGGCCCAAGCCCAGCCTGGAGCAGGAGGCAGTGGCAGCAGGAGGCACAAGTGCTGCCCCTTCCCCAGGGCTGGGAGAGCTTTTGGGGGTGCTGGAGGGAGCTGGGCCAACGTGGGGCCTTTGCTGCCAGAGCTGGGGGGGGGTGTGGGACACCCCATCACTTCATCTTCTGCTGGGGCACCTGCTGGATCTGCTGGATCTGCTGCTGCTGCTGCTGTTGCTGCTGCTGCTGCTGCTCGCACTGGACCTGCGGCTTGCCA